GAGGAATTTACCAATTAATTCTTTAAAAATCCTACAATGTGATTTTCTGGATTTTTTTTTCTCATTTTGTCTCTCATAGTTGAGGTATACCTATGATGAAAATTACAGGCCTCTCTCATCTTTTTAAGTGGGAGAACTTGCACAATTGGTGGCTGACTAAATACTTTTTTGCCCCACTGTATATTAGGGTTGGGCCGATAGACTATGCCATAGTCCATCGTCGATGGCTGATAGACATCACGATGTTGAGCCGGCATCGTGATTCCCCCCCATTCCCCCCATATCCCAATACAGTGTTCGGAAAGAAAATGACGTGTAGGCGGAACCCCTAAAGGGAATAAATACGTCCCCCTGAAAATATATATTTCAATATTTTTCCTCGCAGTTATATAATTAATATATTTCGACATCAGGGAGCCACTATTATACCTGGCATTGAAACTGGCACGAACGCTTTTAGTTTCCCTTTCACTTTCAAGATTCGCGATCGCACATACTCTGTTTATACTATGGAGCGGCAGTACTTGCCACCCATTTTACAAGATTATATGTTTGTCAGTGGTACTGAGGATCTGCAAATCATTCGCTATCGTCCTCAGTCATCTCTCCTTACTCTGTTTATGTGGTAAGTGAAATTTTATGTACTGAAGGATGTAACAGGCGACCGTTACACCATGTCTACACCGAACGCGACAGTTGTCGTGTCGCGCCGTGCCGCATCAGCTAAAGTCTGTCTACACTGGGCGCGACAAAGCGACCGTTGAAAATCATTTGAAATTTGTGTCAGCACTTCATAAATAGAACGCGGCAGCAGTTTACTGTTGGGGATTTGTCGTGTCGCGCCGCATGCAGTGTAGACCGCATCACTGATTATAATGAGTTCTATAGATTGATCTATGTAATAATAAATCTCTGTTATAGATCAGTGGTTCTATAGTATTTTGTACATATATATATATATGTTATATATATATATATAAAATGTGTGTGTGTGTGTTTATGTATGTAGATAGATCGATCCAAATTGTTGTTGTTTGTTTAATACAGCATTATGTTGTTGGTGTTTAATTTGCCTTTTTTCTTCTTTTTAAAGCCTGTGTAATGGGTGTCAAGGCTTGAAATTATAAACTTGTTTGGTAACTGGGAAATGTATTGTCTAGTATGCATTTTTGAGTATTTGAAAAAAGTCTCCATTATGCTATATGGGCTGAATTAACCATGTGAAATTCAGCCTGAAATGAATGCAAGTAGCTCCTTAGATTTGGATTCAAAGTGTTGTTTTCAACAAAGAATTCATGCTACTGAGATCTCCTCGGCCCCCTATTGTGGCTGTTAAGACATCAACAGAGACAACTGTTAAACCGGTCGAAAGGGGCCACAGCAAGACATCTGGAAGAACAGGCGATGAATATGAATGTTTACATCAGAGCTTAGACCCAGAGCAGGAGGACACTGCTCTCCCAGCGCTGATGTTGTCTTAATTAAAGTGGGGATGATGTAGCCGCCACCCCCCTCCTGCCAGCTCACCTCCTCTCTGGCCCTTCCTCCACCTCCCATGTGGCTCGTGACACCCCAAGAAACATCATTATCTGTGACTTGGGCTGCTTCTTTTGTTTGGCTCAGGCAACAGGAGTCCTAGTACTTTCTCTAATAGACATTTTTTTTAATCGTTTTCTTTTGTCTTTTTCTTTCCCTTTCTTTCCTTTTTTTTCTTTCTTTTTTTATTGTTCCAGAATTTAATGATCAATAGTCTGGGGAAAACATTAGTTTCCCAGGAAAGGAGGCGAGATACACTATTGGCTCAACAACAAATCATTACCATGACAAATATGTTTACAACATATTAATTTGTTCGTGGTTGGGTGGTCAGTAGATTTGAGTAATGAATCATGATTAATAAAGCAGTTTTGTTGACAATAAAAATTTTAATTATGAATTTATTGAAATTTGCATCTTAATGTAGTGCACTGAGAATAAAAGAAGTGAAGCAAAATTTGTACTTGTGTTAACTAAATGTACATTTATTCATTTAGCAGAGGCTTTTATCCAAAGCGACTTACAATTGACGAATGCAACATGCGATTCGACATAAAGCCAAGTAAACACAGGGAGTGTTCGTAATACAAAGTTTCAGACATCATTCAGATTAGGGATTAAGGAAAAGTTCAAGCAAATTTTTTTTTTTTATTAGGATGATCGAAGAGTATATTTAAAAATAAAAAAAATTCTAAAAACAATTAAAAACAAAATAGTAAAATTTATTAAAAATAAAATATTATTACTTTTATTGTCATTCTTTTTATTATAATTGTTATTCTGTTTATTTCTGTGCAAGTGTTTATAAAGCTTGAATGCATGAGAGTCGTGCCTGTATTGTAATCTTCTTGCTGGAGGTTAGATCAGTCGAGGGTCTGTAAATCTCTTCGATCATTTCAGCCTTAAACAGGTCAGAGGCTAATCCATACACACATACACTCTCCTATCAAGACCAAACAATACCTCTAGGAACTGAAGATGATGAAAAGAAAGAAAAACATCCAAATTATGATACCATGTCTTCAAATAAACCAGACCCACATCATCTGCTTTGCATGATGCCTCTTGCCGTCCTTTGATTTCTCCAGGAGCTCTGATAACATAATTTGATCTCAAACGTTCATGGCTGTCAATCATTTCAAAATCAGAGATGCCGGGAAGGGATCATGCTTACATAGAGAGAGGACAACAGGACGGTCCAGGAATGATGTGAACATTGGAAGAGGAATGATCCTATGGAGTTGAACTGGGAATCGGCAGGAAACTGGGACAGTTATATATCATATGGAAACATCTGGTCTGAGGAAATCCCTCCTCTGCCATCAGATTTAGCATATACATACAAATACGGTTTAGTTCTCATCATAGCCTTTCTCACAGAGGCTGGTAGGAAAGGATGGTCCATGCCAGCTAACTTCCTGTGCTGCTTCCTGATGACACATTCCCGGTCAATGAGATGACAGCTCATACAGGGAAGAGGCAGCTTAAACACACATCTGAAATAATATTTTCTCATCTGATAACTCTGAGTATACAACAAGACAAGCCATTAGCATTCCGTTGATATCTTTGGAGTGCAAAACGTGTTTATGAAAACACAAAGATGCGTATGGAATGTAGACAGACATTCAGCTGTCATGCGACAAAGAAATAACATGCTCTATTTTGTTTGACTGGTATTTGAAATATCCATTGATATCAACTCTTGTTGTTTAGTTGACATGTAAGTTGTATTTCCACTCGCGATGCACAATACATTGGCCGATGTTAGATGATATTGGATATTTAATTGTTTACACATTTAGATTATATTTATGTAATCTATTAATCTATTGAAATGTAGTTCTGCCATGACAACTCTCTGTGAGTTTAGCATGGTAATATACATGGCAATGTCAATGTGTTTGGTCTTGGCGGAATAGATCTGCTGCTGCAGAGCAAGTACCAAGGCTTGCAACTGCCAGTACATCCATGACATGCTGCTGTGAGCATGTAAGAAATACAGCTGCTGCACATTTATCATATATTAGACAACCCCATATAAAACATACACAAAATCACCTCGTAGCAGATCTATACAGGTGGAGGGTTTCTGAAGCGTGCTGCAACTGCTATAGTGAGCACTAGCCGAGTATTTGAATGTTTGAACAGCAAGCTCATTGGCTGCTGATACAAAAAGAACCAATCAGCTGCGCCACGTGAAGAATGATGTCATTATGTAAGATTGAGTTAGAACCTATCGGCCTGCGCCATCTAGAGTTTCATAACTTTACATTAAAAAAAAAACATTAATTTAATCACAAAATGAAATCTTTATAAATGAAATACTTTATAATACTTTATCATTTAAATTGATTGATTTTATTTGAATTGATCGATTTGTTAGAATTATTTTAATATCTGCCATTTATCAGCTTTTGACCGTAACTTGAAAATAATTATTGGAATTAATTTATATATTTATTTTTAGTTATTTTATGACCGGTTTGTGTTGTTAAATGTGTATGTAAAAGGGGCACACTGTCAGCAGTTATTCATTTCCAGCCAGAATTGGTGATCTGAGGTAAAATTAGTGATAAATTCGAGTTGAGTTTCACTTCATGCAAATGATCCATTACATTGGTTGAGTAAGATCGCCTACTAGCAACCTGTTGTACAGTGATTTGCAAAATTACCCATTAGTATATGAAATTGTATTATAGTTCCCCTTGCGTGAATAAGGAACACTGCCCCAGCATGGTTCGACATCCTTCTAATTGGCACTTATGTTTGGTTGGTTGAGTGGCACCACAGTGGTGGACATGGCCGATGCCAAGTCTGCACTGCCCTATTGTCAGCTATGGTGCCGTAAAGGGCAACTCACGCATTAGCGGGGAACCAAGAGCACAGTGTCGTTTTGCATCAGTCACCTCGGCCTGGTCCATGAGGTGAAAAAATAAACGTTCGGTCTGTAGAATTGTTTGCTTGGCTGTCAGCCCACTTATTAGCGGAGAAAAAGCCCCAAGGATTGCTCCGATTATTCTTTTGTCCTTATGCATGCTGTATACCAAATGTCAGCGAAATAAAGACGAAACTGATTGTTCGCTCTGCTCATTGTTTTTATAATTCTTTAAGATTCAATTATCCTTCAGTATTAGTGGAGAAAAGAAAACCTCTTCTGTTGCATTAACAATTATTTGAATGACTTGTCACAAATTATTGCAATTTGCATAATTATCAGACCCCATTCGACAGTCACTGTTGTTGGCATAATGCTCTTGTGTTTACACATCAGGTGGAAAGAGTAATGAATTCATCCTCAGCAGACTGAAATGCACCCAAGTCACCATGTACCCACAGCAGCACTGTAAGACAGCCACCTAATGAATATGCAATGAGGCCATGCTTAATATGCATAAGTGGGTGTGCATAAGTAGGAGAGTGTTGCTGGTGTAAGCAGACAGATCCAGAGAGGGGGACTGACTCAGACCTTTATGCTCACACTCATACTGAATGATAGTTCATCCTGCAGAGCTTGTGTAAAGCTTCCAGAATAAAGGAAGTGAGAAACACTGAAGAAGGAGGAGGAAGAGAAAAGACAAGGTGTATGGTCAAGAGGGCATCTCCACATGTGACAGAGCAAGAAAGAGAGAGAAACAGAGGGAGGGAGCGCACTGAGTTCCTGCTCTCCTCCAAGAGAAAGACTAGATGGTGGGATCTGTCCATGATGGGGTGCAGAGTTTGTACTCTACAGAAGCCTCAAGAGCAATACAAACTGCTATATGAAGTATGCCAGGTAACTGTTCTCTTTTTTTATTTTCTCACAGGAAGCTGTTCATTGGAATTGATCTCAACTAAAAAAACAATATATATATATATATATATATATATATATATATATATATATTTTT